CACTGGCGAATTCTTCATACGAAGGCCCAAAGCTACATTTTCTGAAAGTTCGGAAGGCATCTCTCTGCATCCGCAGAGGCTGTGATACGATAGCCCAATGCACTAACTTGCGACGTTTTAAATTCGGCCGGAGTACATCTTTTGGAACGCGCTACATTTTCGGGTTGTGATAGCTTCCATGGACTACGGTCCCCTATACAACTCGTCTAGAAGTCTTGCCTACTAGTCTTTACCCTAGTTTGACTACTCCCTACTGTTATTCAGCACCCAAAACGATCTGTTGTAGACGACAGTACAAGCACAAGCTGTGTAGTATTGTTCAAATCTCCAAGGGTGGCGAATGAGACCATCTCTGTCTTTTGCCACCCTAGGATCTACTTGGAGATTAGTATTGTTCAGCACTGTCTGTCACAGAAATTAGGCCAAGGTTTTTGCTCCTAGCTGGCCACCAACACAACGTTATTTTAACGACCGCTGTCTCCGGGCATTGTTCGATAACAACCCTTCTTACTGGTCATTATCGCAGCGTTTCACGGGGCTTAACTGGAATAATGACCGCTGGTGGGGAAGTGGACACTATGCACAATCTGAAGACATCTTTTAGCTGCTCTAAGTGGTCGAAAGTAGTACACAGAAGGGTTAGAACTGTTAGAAATACATCGGAATGCCTAAAAAGTATCTCTCAACAAAGTTTGTACAACGGAAGATAGTTTTAGAGTTTGTAGTCGGTCAATTTTAGCAATAGTATGTTATAATATAATATCTGGGCACTTTTGTCATGATTCAAAACTTTTTTTTCTGTGACACAAAAACTGTTTTCGAATTCGACCCCATTTTGGCCTGTTCTTTGCCAAGGGCACTGTTGTTATTAACCTTTGACCCGACAAGCATGCTGACAGGTAATCCATTGTTTACGGACACAAAATCACAACATGGCGGCGGAAATGCTGACAGGAAACGAGCACAGAACTAGATCTACTGATCGCCAATTAGATGTCGACGTCTGAGTTTGAACGGTTTTTGTAGTCCTTTCTGTCATTTTTAGTAGTGTTCAGTTTAAATGATGTTGTCCTATCCTTGTCGGCAGTTGGTTCTGTCACAACTTTCTGCAACATCAAAATCGCACGACAACATACGACAAAGATGGCTTCGCCTTTAAAACACAAAAGAAGAAGATATACATACACAAACACACAATTAGAAAGAATAATTCCATTGGTGGAATATATATGTACATAGCACACGCCGAAAAGGTAGCCTCTACCAGGCTTCGGGAGGCGACTGGAAAGAGTAGAAATTGGGTAAATAGACAGATAAAAAGCCAGGGGAATTGGTCCGCTAGAAAGTACAATTTACCGTTTCCTGGTGTGGCAAACTGTACTCTCCAGCGAACCAACTTCTCTGGCATGTTATCTCTCTATTTGGCCAATTTCTACTCTTTCCAGCCGCCTCCCGAAGCCTGGTAGAGGCTACCGAAAAGGCACAATCCATGCATGGGGATGCACCTGTTCATAGATCACTAAGACACATAAAAATCAGGATTAAAAAAAATCATCCGCCCGAAGCAGGTATTAAGTCTTCGGGCACACAAACCGATCACGGAAGGAAGAAAAGTCTAAAGGATTTAATTTCATTCACACGGTTGAAACAATACCCGTGACTGATTACAACTTGTAATCCGTTTTGAATGGGGATTTTTTTCTTGACAACCAAACCGGGTCTGAACAGGTAGATCTCTTGTTTATGAGGTTGTAATACGAGACGGTGTGGGATTTTTCACACGAGCCTTGTCTTGCAGGTGGAATAACGACTCGTAGCGCAGTCACAGATGTCGTAAGAACATCGTACGAACATCGTACGATTTCAAGATGATTGCTTTTAGATACATGTAGTCGTGTATATATGTGACCTGCAGAATGTGGGATTTTAACAATCATTGTCTTGAAGGTGAAATAACGACTCGTAGCGCAGTCACACATGTCGTACGAACGTCGTGCGATTGCAAAACGATTGTTTTTAGATAGTCGTATATGTGTCCTGCAAGATTCAACTATCTTGTTATTGTAAAAGCTGTGTTCGATTCTTTATTGTGGTATTGTATTTTTTTCTTCACTGTACCACGACCTAATACGACTTTTCCACAATTGTCGTAGGCGGTCGCACGATTTGATGCCGAAGGACTACATGAGAGTATGAATAATATCTCAAAATGGTGGAGCCATAAAAACAAAATAGCTTGACCTTTCAAAGGTCTATAATTAAAAAGATGAATCGGTTCGTGCGTAGTTAAACCTCAGTAACAGCGATACAGTCACGCGAGATGACTAAACAATGAATCTACCTACGCATCATACCGGCATTTAAACACACTAGTAACAGATTTTATGGGGATGACGCATGCTTTTTATTTTTGCGCTTCTGCGTTTCAATGGGACGTTAAAAAACGACACATTGTGAAGATTTTCTACAACTATTATGGCGTGGTGACGACGATACTGTATTTCATGGTGTTCCTTTATATATTACTAGAAAAAGAAATGTTTCACTTGTAAGTGAACATACGCAAATTTGACTTTCTACACACGCACACAAAAACACAATCATTGGACCTATCTTAAAAAAGACATAGAAAATCAAATCCCAGACGCTGACTGTCTGCAAGCAGAAAGTTGGTCATTGGGTCTGTAAGAAGACTTTAAAAATGCATAGTAATGACGAATTCACAATAATGTAAGACATTCAAAATCTCTCCGATTTCTTGTCAGCGGTTTTGTTCAAGCGTCCTTCTATACACTGTGAAGCACTTTGTAACAGAAACCACAGAGTCCGACACTGTCTGTCGTCTGTCTGTCATCTGAGAACACAAATAAAGAAGACGATGCATTAGTGTAGAGTAGGGAAGAGCTCAACAGTACACGTCCATAGGCGGGGTTCAGTATGTGATTGATACGTAGCAGATCTCTATTGTAGAAAGACAGAACTCATGTGGTCCCGATTGATGTTAAATGATCATTAAAAGTCTATAGATAAATCTACGTACGATCGAAGACTGGTGGTATTCTTGTACTCTCCAAGCAGATTTTTGGGTTTCGGGGTATTTTTAGCGTGTTTTTAGGCTTAGGTTTCTTTTTTGCACTGTTTTTTTTCATCCAAACCCAACGAAAAAAATTGCAAAGCAAATGTATAATGTTTCCCTTTGTATATAGTCTGCGCTGTTATTTCTTACTCAAACACAAATACATATGGTCAAGACAGGAGTCTAAATCCCTCATGCTATGAAATTGCAATATGCGATGTAAGACTGTCCGGTTCAGGTCATTGACCTTATTGGTTTGGCGAAGAAGAGGAAGAAACTGAGCAAAAACAACATGTTTTCCTTCAGTTAGCACAAATATATACTATAAGATGGGACTACGTACTCGTTCAGTCTTTGGAGAAATGCCAGGTATATCACTCAGTTTACGCGGCCACTTTTCCCGGTCCAGACTCCCCTTCATGCATGTGACACTCCTGTCTGTGTTTGTGTGTTTAGCGGAGCTGGGTGGGTATGCCGTCTTCACTTGTTTGGCCTCGGAACTAGAGACTTCGGCAGAAAAGAAAGGGAAGTTATTTTTAAAGGGACGTTCGGAGTCATTAGAAACGGCGTGACAAGACAGGGAGCCTTGTAGTTGCTTCTTAAGTTAAGACAGACAAGCGGCTAGCTTCGGGTGGATTTAAGGAGATCGTATTCGTTTTTGTCTGTAGAAAACAAAGTATCTACTATCTAACAGTCAAACCTGTTCTAGTGACCACCTCTACATAAGGACCACCTGGTCATTGATATACAGTCAAACCTGTACTAGTGACCACCTCTACATAAAGACCACCTGGAAATAGTGATACTAGTATTCAGTCAAACCTGTACTAGTGACCACCTCTATATAAGGACCGCCTGGCCATTGATATACAGTCAAAACTGTACAAGTGACCACCTCTACACATGCACCACTTGGCTATTAGCCACCAAAGCTCTGGCCAATGGATATCGCCTAGCCACCGTATGATCTGCTTGGAGATTACATTATGGGCATATTTTAGTTTGGTCACCAGACATTTTTTGTTGTAGCGGCTCTGGTTTCAGCCGGAATTTCCCCCTTTCAGTCAAATGGAAAACAACATTTATCGTCTTACGTTACAAAGATAAGAATGTTCTCCGTAGCTTACTTAACTCCCTTCTTTAAGAACGTTTTAAATTGGCGTTTTGATACACAGGTTCCTTCCGCCATTGTAACATGATAAAAACCTATTGTCAAACAAAGTCACAGAATGAAAGTCTGGATATTTGGGTAAGACTGGTAGTTGAAGAAACTGTTCCGCTTTTTTTTCTTGCAACACTCCTCAAGTAATTTGCTTTAAGGAAGTATTGTTTTGGTTTGTGTAGCTGTGAGTCTGTTGTCTGTTTGTCTAGACAGAGTACAGACTGACAGTACGTGGGTACGGAAGATTGACAGGCAAAGTGTAATTAAGTAAGTAAGACTGGGAAAATGGGTGAAGCCGAGAGTAGGTTGACAGCACACGGGGAGAAAGATTGACAAGCATAATGGCAGGTATAAAATGGTCAGGCACAGAGAAAACTAGAAGGTTACGATAAGTCAAAATACTTAGTCTAAAATCTTTAATTTCTTATTGTGTGTCTGAACCAGACGTCTGTCACCATGGTAACTACAATGTAGTGTTAGGTTACATCATGTTGCAATTTTGTAGCAGGAGGGATTTAGACTCTTGTCACCATATATATATATATATATATATATATATATATATATATATATATATATATATATATATATATATATATATATATATATATATATATATATATATATATATATATATATATTGATGTGTAAAAATTAACAGAGTAGACCATATGCTCATTTGACCATTTGCATTTGCTTTGCAAATGTTACGTTTCCAGTTTTTAATTTCTTTTGTGTTTCTCTTCTTTTTTTTCTAACCAGACGGCCAAACTCCCATCAACAAGGAAGCCGGCTCCTTGCAACAGTTTGAGTGTGGCGTCACCTTCCCGTCGACGTACCTACTAAACTGGATGCGTGGGGATGAGATCGTCATACGGTACCTGTCTGCCGGTGGTGCCATTACGGCAACGTCAGCAAACTTTACCGGGCGAGTGTCCATAACAGAGCCGCAGAAGTCGCTGCGCATCACGTCCCTAAGGATAACAGACGCAGGGCAGTTCTTCTGTAGTGTCCACGACTTGGAGTCCGTGAACGCTGAAAGAAATTCCGCAAGACAAACTCTGTTTGTGTACAGTAAGTATTGTTTTCACTCCACCAAAGTGGTGCTTTTGGCTTGTGTGTGCGTCTGTGTGTGTGCGCTTGTACCGTGCTTGTGTGTGTGTGTGTGTGTGTGTGTGTGAATATTTATTGCTATTTTACATTTTACTTAAGACACTAATTTTTCGTCGTGTCTGAAGAAAGAGCAACGGAAGAATAGTTTACATTTTTGTTATGGAAAAAGAAAAAAAGAAGAAATTTTAAGAATTAACAACAGTACGGCCCAGATCAAAGATTGTTGACACTTTTTTTTACGTCGAGGCAGAAGTAAATAAACATGACCCCATACTTCGTCAAGGCTAATGCTTCAGAACTATTACTTCTATTTTAGGTAAAAACAACATATAACTGTCCTTGCATCCTCCTAAACCATAAAACGTGTTAGTTAGATGTCGGAAATGTATGAGATATCAAGTACAAAAGGAACTTGTATGGAAACATCGGCGTTGAAAGCTATCCTCTACCAGGCTTCTGGAGGCGGCTAGAAAGAGTAGAAATCGGACAAATAGAGAGAGATAACATGTCAAGGGAGCGGCAAACTGTACTCTAGAGCGGACCAACTCCCTCTATTTGGCGGATTTCTACTCTTCCCAGCCGCCTCCCGAAGCCTGGTAGAGGCTAGTTCAAAGCACCTGCATGACATATCATTAGTACCAGGTCACCGCAGCCAAATGTGAGACATTCCTAGCGTACAGCTATTTGGTTGGGCTTCCTGGCCGCATCCAAGCGTAGCGGTGCGGGTGACACCAGATAGCGGCTGGGCTGTAGTTAGAATAGCGCAGGTGTATTTTAGAGGCACGGGTGGGCGGTGAAGGGGCCCCGTGTGGGGAAAAACAATTCCCAAAGGAACGGTCCTACTTTGTGTGTGCGTGTGCGTGTGTGTGCGTGTGCGTGCGTGTGTGTGTGTGTTTGTGTGTTTTTTTCGGGGGGGGGCGTAGTGGGGTGTCCCTAAAAATTCTGAAATGCTATTAAACCATCTGAAACTTTATTCCTTCATTTTGAGGGTCAACATTTGACTCTAACTCTAACTATTAGAGTGCGCAATTTTGTCCACAAACTTCTTTAAACCACAACTGTCTATTCAGCATAATTTTGGTAGTCAGACTCCCCTTCAGTAGCATTACATAATTTTTTTTTGGGGGGGGGGGTCATTTTTGTATCAAATTTGTCACTAAAATAACGCAATGCAAGAATTTCGTACAAATTAAGATTGCCACTGAAAGTTATACTAAAAATATGCCAAATCCAAACACCTGCTCGAAGATAACTTTATTAGAAGTGAGCTCTAGCGATTTAAACAAACTTTCAAAGGTACAAAGATATCTGGATAAAAGATAAAAAGTAGATCATCTTAAATATCCTCTTGGTCGTCTTATAGTAAGACCTTTGGAAACTAAACTTTACATAAACATCCCCTTCATTGGCAGACTGACAAGGATCGATGCACAAGTTTAATTTTCTGGAAGCGGTTAACTTCAGAAGCCTCTAGTCTAGCGTGTCTAACACAGCTCCTACAGTCCACTGGACTTGAAAATGAAAATGAAAAACCTTTTCTCCACTAACTACGTCATTGTTAAGAAAACACGTAATACAATAGTCCCTCTGACGATGCACTTGACTTGATAAACCTGAAAACAATCTATTTAAACGTAATATGATCTGTAGAAGTGATCACCTTGGCATTGCTAGGTTCTGGTGTTACCATGGCATTGATTGTTATGATTATGTCACTTTTTATGTTCAAAACAAGACAAAATCGCGAACTAGATAACGTGGAAATTCTTTTATATTTTAGGTATGAATAAAATATAGATAATTCAAAGAAAATAGATGATCAAACTATCAATTTAAGATTGGTAAAATGACAAATTTTAACTCTCCATAAGAAATGGCAGTGTCTGATACATATATCAGAAAAAATTTCTTCATAATATTTTTGTATTTTCCACTATGAAATTACATTGGATATGCTAAATTGATAGCTTGATCATTTATTTTCTTTAAAACTATAAAATTACATTGGATGACCCTTAAGAACAAGTACAATGTACATCAATGGATGCTTCTTTCTTATAGTGTCTGTGCATCTGTTTAGTCTAGCCAGCCCGGGTGTAAACATAGACTAGAAGACAGGTATGGTTAAAAGCAGGCTGAATACAAAAGCGCCCCACATGTGAACCCACACCCCATGGTTAGAAACACATCTGTAGACACATTAAAATTCCTGGCAAGCTTCACAGCTTTATCAGGGTCCTTACAGGTGTAGGTTACATACAAGTCAGGTGTACATGTCAAACTCTCCAACAAGACAATATAATTACCGGAGCCTAGAAGGTTAGTTATGTCAGATTTCTGTGTTTCTCTCCCTCTCTCTCTC